GGTTTGGAGAGGGACACATGGCATTCTATAGACTTTTCTTCGTAAAAAAAAAAAACAAGAAAACGCAAAATTGGTGTGTTGTGTTTGGACCAAGACAAGTCACTAATTTGTCATTTCTCTAACGTTATGTTATCTATGTCAACTTTCATTTAGATGTATCTTTTTCAATTTTACCCTTTTAATCCTTCTAATTTTATTAAACTTTTTTTTTCCTCAGGTTAAACATTCAATTTTGCTCTTAAATTTTTATTAGATATCCTGTTTAATTCAAATTGAACTTTAGACTAAATATAACTTAGAAAGTCCAACTATGAAACAAAATCGTTTTGGTTTTGCTAGATTCATTTTTCATTTTAATAACAATATTTGATCTTTTCATAAGTATTAAAAAAATGATTGAACATATTAATTTTTTAAAAATATATAATAAAATATCTAAATTGACCTTTTTAAAATTAAAAACTTATCGTCAATTTTGCTATAAAACACTTAATAAATATGGATAAAATTGAAAAAAATAATTAATACATCCTTAAAATCCTAAATAAGCATTTAAAGTGGAACAAACTAAAATGTCCATTTGTTGCTATTAAAATGGTACGGATGAAATAGTATTGTATACTCCTTCCATCCAAAAAAGATACTCATTTTGTCCCAAAATATAAGTCGTTTAAAGTTTTTACGTGGAGATTAAGGAAGCAATTAATTCTCCTAAAATATAAAAAAGTCAAGAGTAATTTGACTAAATTACCCTCTATCTTAAAACCAAGAGTCACTTGTGAATGTAGTTATTCTATCTAATGTAAATCAGGGTAAAAATGGAAAAACATCATTTATTATTTCTTAAAATATTTAAAGTTATATTTTGGGACAAAATTATCACTCAAAAACATTTATATTTTGGGACAGAGGGAGTAGTCCACTTTCTATTTTCACACAGATTAAGAAAGTAGTAATTATAATGGTTAAAAGACAATTTTATTTATATAACTTTCCTATTATGCGCATCTTAAATAATACATGAGCAATTATTATATTGAAATAATAAGTAAGAATTAATGAAGGTTATTAAGAATAAGATAAACTTTAATAAATGTATAATAGACAATTCAAGGATTAAATATAATGCAAAAAATGAAAGTAGACTATATTTTGGAACAAACCAAAAAGGAAATATCGACTATCTTTTTAAACAGAGGGAGTATATAACTAGTCCTATTTAATTTTAGGCCAGACAAAAAAAAGCCTGAACTTTAACATTTTTATCAATTCTAGCCGGTTCTTTTAATTTTATAAATCAATACCGCGTATTTAATTTTTTGTATCAATTCTAGCCTCCATTTGTCTTTCATCAATTTCATGCTAATGTGATAATTATCTCTCACAAGTATGCACTACAACATCCAATGTCAGCACCAAGTCATATATCCATGTATATTAAAGAAAAAAGCCTCAACTTTAACGTTTTTATCAAATATGGCCACTCCTTGTAATTTTATCAATCAATGCTGCAAACTAATTAATCTTGATCAAATGATTTTGTTACATTAATTTTTATTAGTTAATAATAAAAATTGTGAATATGTTTATTAGTAAATAATTGTGAATTTTATTTTAATTAAAACATTTTTTAGCTATTTGTTTGGTTATAGAATAGAATGAGACATAAATCTAGAATTAAAGCGGGTAGGATTCACTACAAAAAAAACGGCATTTTGCTACCGACCAATCGGTCGCTAAATTCAATTAGCGACCAATTTGCGACCGACAAATATCGGTCGCAAATATGCTCGTCGCAAAATATTTTGCGACTGATTTTTCGTTAGTCGCAAATTAGCGACCGATCAAAATCGAAAAAAATCGGTCGCAAATTTTGGTCGTTTTTTCAGTTGGAAAAAGCGGTCGCAAATTGGTCGCAGAAAATTCTGTTGCAAGTCAGTCGCAAATCGGTCGCAAAATTAAAAAAAATTTTAAAAAAATAAATATTATTATAAAATCCAGGAAATCTTACTATCAAAACAAGCCTAAAGGCCAATAAACTTACACTTAAACAAATATAAACAAGGAAATTGTATAAAGACAGGCATTTACTATCAGAAAAGAAGGCAACTTATGCAAGGCCATATATGGCAAGCTAAAGATAGAAGCTCAATCATGCAAACAAGGCGGCGAGGAAGAAGCAAAATCAACCAGAAATGAAAATGACCTTAACTCCATACATATCGATCAATGAGCATTCCTAGGTAAACAAATTGTGCACATCAGCACCAGTATTTGGACTAAAATATCATGCATAGAGCATTTTCCTTCACAGAATATTAACATGCAAAACTCATTACAGTATTTTGTGATCTGTGATTGTACAATTAAGGCAAATTATAAGCACATATGCGCAAAATATAAGTAAGGCATCCCCAAATTTGGCATCCAACATGTCTCAGATTCCTGAGCTTATAAGCTCACTTAGCGAGTTAAAACAAGGAACAGTATTCAGTACACCGACGGGCAACCTTGCAATGGTCTATTGGATAAAAGTTACACATCTAATTTTTTTGCTGCTCCACGTCATGAAAATTAAGCAAAATAAATCATTCATACAAACGCAGACGCTTGACAAAAACCCTGCCTAGCATGAACCAAACACAGCATTCTTCCAGTAAGGAGAGCAGTTCATCACATAATTTATAAAAATAGTGAATTGAAGCATTTATTCAGTTAGTTAATAACTCCACCTTGCAGAATTACCCGAATGTAAAAAATAAAAAAATTTCAAACCACTAAAGCATAAACAATCAACATCTGCTTCTAGTACTCTTTAAAATTGTTGTTCCTCACACAGTAATTTCACAACTTAATACCAGTGTCAAGAGAAAGAAAAATTCAATCTAAACACATTACTATGTCAATTTACAGGTATAATCATCTCTATATATACCATTTGACCACAAAAATTACGTCAACGTCCATTAGATTCAAGATGACCTGCAACAGCGAAAAAACAAATCCAAACTACAATATCTTTGAACTACAAAATCCAAAAAAATGCAATATCAATTTTACCGTCATACGTTATTCTCACTAAAATATAACAAGCAACGAAAACAGAGTGTAAATCAAGAAACAAGCGTACGCAATCAATCCACGATGTTCTTCTCCTCCATCAGCCACTGCTACCAGTAGATTCGTGCAAGCCCTAGTTGCCTAAATCACAAAAACCCCTGAGACCATGAATCTGACTGGCCCGCCCTATGGCATGAATAGAGAAATTGCCGATAAAATCACCAGCGGCGTCAGGAAGGACTTGAGCGGCGCTGCGAACAGAGGAGAGGAGAGGAGGAGAAGAAGAAAGAAAGAAGAAGAAAGAAGAGGGAGGGCGTCTAGCGTTTAAAGCCCTAAAATTTGCGACCGACTGGTCGGTCGCAAATCTCATTAATATCGGTCGCAATTTTTTAACTCAGCGACGTCGTTTTACTTCGCAATAAAATTGCGACCGATTTGCGACTCAACCTGTCGGTCGTCGGTCGCAAATGGTCCGTCAGAACTTATTCCTAAATTTTGAAGCGCGCAATTTTGGCGACGGAAAAAAAAACGTTGTCGCAAATCGGTCGCAAAATCGGTCGCAAATCCATAGTACACTTGTCGCAAACTGAAAAACAAACTCGCGGGAATTTTTAGCGCTACAATTAGCGACTGTTTGTCTATAGGTTGCAATTCGGTTGCAAAATTGCGACCGATTTTAGGCGGTCGCAAATTGGCGATTTTTTTGTAGTGATTTAGTTATAGTTCAATGGTTATACACTCCGTTTGGTATGAATGAATTCAAAATTATGAAATTTATTTGTAAATAAATTCTAATATAATTCATTTGTGAATGAATTTTCATGATTAATTTAAAACAGATAATTCAATTGAATTCCACATAACTATGTATGGAATAAATTTATAATGGAAAAATTCAATTGCTCTTGTTTACTAAAGTACCCTTAAAATAATAATTTCACAAAAATAAATAATAAATATCAATTATATTTATGTTGTGCTATATAATTTTCATATTTTTATTAAAAATAAATATATAAAATAAAAATAATATTAATAAAATTATTGCATTTAATTTAGTAATATATATAACTTGAATCTCTCTCCTTAATAATAAAAAACTATTAAAATAAAAGATGAAAAATATTTAAAAAATACAATAATAAGAAATTATTTTTCTGAAAAAATAAAAATTTTAAATGATTTTGGTCAAATTTGATAAAATAAATAAATTAAATAAGTAAAAAATTGAAAAATTGACTTTGTAGAAAAAAATTGGTAATTTTGTCATAAAAAGTTGGATGGCTTAGTTTTGTGAAATTCATTTAGAAATTCCAACTATTTTTATGGAATTTAGTATAGTTATGTTCAATTCCATAGAATTGAAATCTATATTTTTTTTTCATTTCAAACACAAAAATATAGACTTTTAAATGAATTCTATAAAATTTCATGGAATTCATCTGTTCCAAATTCCAAATTAACAATGGGGTAATACAAAAAAAAAAAAAAATTGAGATTTTTTTTCTTTTATTTTGCAATAAAATAATATCATGGGTTAACTAGCTTCTATGCACTGCATTAAGTTTGTCTCTTGAATTTAGTATCCATGCTAAAAATAAAAATTCTATCACCAACCTTTAAGTTATTTATTTATTTTGAGGAAATCCACCAAATTTTAAGTTGATCACATGCATATATATATATATATATATATAGTATCTCCTTTGAGCCTAATTAATTAATAATTATATATTGAAATATGGTTATCTTGTCCATATATTAAATAGAAAATATAATTAATTAAAGTAGCAACAACGTTAGTAATTAAAATGTAACAGAAACTTGTTCCGAAATTAATTATACTCAACCATGAAGGTTGTGGAGGTGGTGGTGATTGGAAGTGACATGGCCATTGTGGAGGTGGTGATGGTGGTGGTGGTGATAGTCCATGCCGTTACCATTATCTGAAGCTGGCCATCCTCTTGGATGGTCTCTTGTTAGCTCTAACAAAGAGTTCCTCACATAATCTGCTTGAACCATTTCACTATCCTTCTTCTGCCAAAAAAAAATAAATAAATAAATAAATCAAAGATAATTAAACTCAATTTGATACATACATGTGCAGGACAAGGAACGGCTTAAAGCTCTAACCTCTACTTTGAAAACATTTGAGACAAGGCCTCTGCAGCTTGTTACATTGACGTTGGTAACTTCTAAGCCAAGAGAATCCAATGCCTCCATTAATCTCACAAACCCACCTGCCTTATGCTCACAAAATACCTTTACAAAGAACTCATTTCCATCTATTTGAGCCACTTCTACTTGGACCTGCAATTGTTTCATTAACGACCTGCATTGTTTCATAACTAATTAATTAATTAATTAAGAAATGAGTTATTAAACATGGGTAATTAAGAAATGAGTTATTAAACATGGGATTTATCTAATTAATTACCTCCATTTGTTGTCCCTTATCATGAAAATTTTCTGACTTTTGCTGATTCAATTTTGGGCAGCTAACTTCTGATGCTCCCGCCTGAAACCCATTTCCAAGACCTCCATTTTGGCTTAGAGTTTCTGATGGAATATTGCTTTGATTCCCATTTTTGCCATCTTCATCATCTGAATGCTCTTTAAGCTCATCTTGCAGTTCTTTTTCTTGCTGCTGCAACTCCTTCACAAATTCAATTGCATCTCCAAGTATGGCAGCCTTGTTCAGCTGATCACAAAAACACAACATTACACATAAATATACATAAAAACATCAATAATTAAAAGGTAGAAGAAGACATAATTACATTAGAAATTTTGGGAACCAAGGCACGTAGATCATAGAGTCTCCCATTAAGCCTTTTCCTTCTCTTTCTTTCAGCATGAAGATTTTTAGCTTCAGGTTTTCTTCCTGTTCTTCTCATATATTTAGCATCATTTTCGTCATCAAGTTCATCATAATTACAGTCCATCGAATCCGATTTCCCTTTCTCCTGTTTAATACACTCTTTATCATCCCATTGCTTCTCTTCTTTATTATTACTATCACTTATTACTGATTTCTGAATATCTTCAACTCCATGAACAGCGCCTTCGAAGAAAGTATCATCACAATTTTTAGTCTTGTAGTTCTTATTATCCTCATTATAATTAAATTGCTGCAAGAAATTCATTGGAGGACTGCATAGAGGGACTCGGTTTCCGGAGATATCATATGCTAAGTTATTCAAATCCTCTAATGCTTGATGTGCCAGCTGGAATTGATTAATTTGAGGGTGATGGTGATGATCATGATCTTGATCAACAGCTAGAAATGGTTTCGAAGATTGTTGTTCACTGTTCATGTTCATATTATTTGCAAAACTTGCTTCCATGTTGGTTGAGTTTATAATGGCTTCTTGCTCCCTTATAATGCTACATTGAGATGTTACAAAATCTATTAATTGTTGATCTTCAGATACCTGTAATTAAAACAATAATTAGTTAATAAATAATTTTATATTTATCATGTAAAGATCATTTTTGAACTTTAATTAATTAAAGAAAACCTAATATTTGTATTGATCATTGAAAAGGGTTGTCACTTTACTTGTTTAGTAACAAACAGCTCTAATAGTCCTCCAGGAACTGGTATCAAAGCCCTAGTTCCAACTGTTCCCTGAATTAATAATAATTAATATTAATTTGAAAATTAGGGATTGTAATTTATTTATATAGAAAGAATTAAAGGAAATTAAACTCACTCACTTCAAGAACACTTGAATCTGAACAACTAGAAAAATTTAGCCATCTGGGTTGGTTTGATATCAAGGTCTGTGCATGAATCCTATTAAAAGAGATAGAGAGAACAAATACAAAGCAGTCTTCATGTAATGATAAACTAATAACTAATAGTTAAGGAAGGTTAAACGGAGAATAAATTAATATACAAAACTTATACCATGATAAACTAATAACTAATAGTTAAGGAAGGTTAAACGGAGAATAAATTAATATACAAAACTTATACCCAGAGTCTAATGGGATTGAAGTGGGCAGTTGTGCAAGAAGTTCACAAGATTTAGTTCTTTGGTGTTGAAAGATTAAATCCCTACAACAAGAAGAAGAAAGAGGAAATTGAACGTCATCTCCACCATTTTGTATGTCCTCAGTTCCACCACAGCAACACTCCATCCATTCGAGAAACCTACAAAAAAATTGAAAAAAAAAAAATAAGAGAGAGAATTTGATTATGCAATTTATAATATAAATTAGTATTTTTCTAACCTTTGGTCATCACTAAATATCCAAAGAACACAATAATCCCAGCCTTTCAAACCCACAAGAGGCCTTAGTCTTTCTATGAGGCTTTGAAATACATTCATGATGTAATATTTACCTGCAAACAATTATTGGTTAAATGTAATATTTACCTGCAAACAATTATTGGTTAAAGCCATATGCTATATAATTATTAACAAACAAGACAAACATACGTATGTATACTAATATCCATTACAAAGCACACAATTTTATTTATCTAAAATATACTAAAACGATAATGCACTTTCTATAAAGTCAGAGTTTGATATATAGAAAAATATTTATAAGTAGCGGCAATTATGAACTCTAGAATGAATCCGTTATTCTTATACTGAAAAAAAAAATACTGAAATATGAAAAAGATTTGAGCGTTAAATCTATGATTTCACCTGTAATTACCTACCGATAAAGATATCTCCCTTTTCAACCAAACAAACTTAAGCAAGAAAAACTAAAGAAATGATGAATATGAACTTCAAATGATAGCTACGGTTAACTGCAGCATCTTCCAACAGAAGATTAGACCCAAATCATCATACCTCAGCATCTTATATGTTTTCTTTTATTTTAGGGTTTCTTTAACAAAAGAAAGATAGAAAAATTTACCTTTTTCCCCTAATATATATATTATTATTCCTAAAACTTTCTCTTTTTATGCATCTGTGATGGAGTTTATATCTGGTAGGTAAACTGCAGTGCTTGCATGAGGAAGATTATATATGAGCAGTGCTAAATGTACAAGAAGTGGATGGATAGTCTTTATAATACAAGGTAGGTAGAATTATAAGAACAGGAATCGTTGGATCACTTTAAATCAATGGTTGAAAATTAGGGATGTAAAATTTGAGAAACGTAGTGGAGATATGTGTAATTAGAATAATTAAGTATATATAATTTGGGCCTTTTATGATGGAAGGGGCATATTGCATGAGCTAAGATGGCGTACAAAACCCTAACTACCTTATATAAGAGTATTTCATCTATTTTGGTTAGCTAGTCTTTCGTGTCTCAACTACTCTACAAACATTGACCCAAAAATGTGCACTCTAGCTAGTTAGTTTTAAAATCAGTGAAGTTCTTTATCTATATAGGGAAGATAGATAATTAAGGAAGGAAACATTTGGTTGAGTAAATGTGGTTGTCTCCCATTTGATGATATTTTATTACTTGATAGAAATTAGGAACTCACACTCATATACTATATACTATTGATTTCTGATCTATTGGACAAAATTAGCTATTTTGATAGTTATTAACTGTTTTAGTAGCGTTTAACTATTAGCTGTTTTAGTAGCTTTTTATGAAACGCTAAAAAATTAAACATTACATAAATTAACTTTTCACCGAACGCTACCTTAACCTCTAAAATTTAGTTCAAATGCTATAACCATAAAAAAAAAATAGCATTTTGATTGGTTACATAAAAAGCTGTTGTCGAACATAGCCTTCAACAAATACTATTCAGTTTTTAATGAAATACCAAACTGAACCACCTTAATTTAGGAATTTATTTCAGTTCATTCATACGTTCAGTTGTGTTCGGTTTTTTGATAATTTCAGTTCAATTTTAGATAAGACTAAATTTTGAAGTAAATGACAAATTTTTAAAAATTAAACCAAATTAATTCAGTTCATTTTGAAAAATTAATCGATTTACTGTTTGTTATAAAAGCTTTTATTTATTTTATTTAAATTAGTTCGGTTTACCCTTAATACTTGATGGAATAGGAATTTACTTTTCTTTTTTAACATATATAACCTTGATTTCATTTAAGATAATCTTAGGGTCATACTATTATTGAAATTTAATATTAACTTTGCTTTCTTTTTAGAGGAGTTTCTTTTATTTGTATATTTATTGGTCTGAAATACGCATTCCATACTCGAAATGAGAGCACTATTGGTAAAATTCGCTTGAGATACAAAGTTCATTTTCACTGAGCCAATCAATGGTTAGTTTTTTTTTTTTTTTTTTTTTAATCTTTTTTTTTTTTTTTTTTTTGAGAGTCAGGAAGCCATTAATGAATTGTTGCTATCACCTGAGGTGGTGGGCTGATGATAAAAACGTTGATCATCTGCCTGCTTGATTCAGATTCAATCCTCCATGACAGTATCCTATTAAGTATGATATCTACATATTGACTCTGCCAGCGTCTCTCCTCTAGGAGGCAGTGTTTCCTGTCAGTGCTCAGGGGTCGTACTCCCTATCAAGGTGTTTTAAATCAGGATGAGCCGATCGGACAGTGACTTGATCTTCTCATTTTTTTTCTATTTTAGTGTGTCATCGAAAATAGTTGCAATCAAGTGCCTCTACTTGTTAAAATATGCAATTAAGACCGATTTTTAATGTGCTGGCAGGTTATGTGGACATATTTAGTTCACTCCACCCCTTTTTGTCATATAATCTCCCCTTTAGCCCTCCATTAATTACCCAAACACCACATAGACATGTTATTGCTCTCTTCTCCTTCTCCTGGAACTTTCTTTCTCAGACCCGTTCTTCTCTCTCTGTCTCTCTAAATCCTCACCTCTTTCAATTTCAATCTCCTCTAAAAACCTTCGCCACCCAAAGCCTCTAAAACCCTAACTCTCCAAGTTTGGACACCACCCCAAACGAAGATATCCATCTCTTTATTAACTATCATGGTGGTCCTCTAGTGTTAGTTTAGTTTATTTTTGAAATTTCTCATTATTCTAAAGATAAGCCTGTGACTTCATTTTTAGTATGAGAACTGTGATTTATGAATGCAATAGCTTTTATGAAAAAATGTTCCAAATAACATTGTTGTTCTTCCCATTCAAAGCGGTGTGAAATTCAGAGGGTTGCCACAACTGATTGTTTTGCTTTTCTATGAGGATGGTAATCTTTTTGTAGATATGGCAATATTTTGTTGAAGGAATAAATTTTTTTCACTACCTTTATTACTGAAAGGTATGCAGTCATCAAGCAATAATTCTTCAATGGAATGTAGATTTATTTACACACTGACAATTATTATTATTATTATTATTATTATATGCACTGAAAATTATTATTATTATTATTATATTGACGAAGAAAATACAAAGATGAGCCACGACATTGATTAGACAATTGATTTTTTATTGATTTTTTTTTTTTTTTTTTCTATAAAAGAGTGCCTTTTTGCAATGAGAAAGAAACTTACCATGTGGTTGATCATGCAGAAAATCTCCGATTGAGGAAACAAATCTTGATTTTTTTTTTTTTTTCTATAAAAGGAGTGCCTTTTTGCAATGAGAAAGAAACTTACATGTGGTTGATCATGCAGAAATCTCCGATTGAGGAACAAATCCCTTCAACTATGGTAGCTGTGTAAATAAAGGCAAAAGTGGAAGATTATATGACAAAATGGATGAAGTGGATTAAACACATCCACATAAGCTGCCAACACATTAAAAACAGATCCCACATTGAGTGACTCAGCTTTCCGGCTACCCAAACCGGCCACAACCACTTAATTGCACATTTTAATAGGTACAGACACTCGACTGCAAAAGATTTCAGCGAGACACCAAAATAAAAAAAACCGAAAAGTTTAATCACCAAAGTTTTCATTTTGCCTTGTTAAAACGGTGAAATGTGAATAAAACTGAAATGACTTGATTTATGTGTGCTTTAACGGTGATTGGGCCCAAAGAGCCCATTTCTCTCAAAATTCTGGTCCATAGTTTTAATCTCTTTTTAGCCCATGTCATTAGCGAGACGGAGATCTATCACCATTAGATTAATATCTGATTGTGAATGATTAATTTGAATAAAGCATATTATTCATTTGGAATAAATGAATTAAACATATATAAAATTTATTTATAAATATAAATAAAACTTTTTATAGAATATCCATGTGTGTGCATTAATTGTTTGTTTGCTATTTAACTAATAAAAAATAAATATACTTCAGCTTGGTCAGATAACATGGGTTACTTATGACTTTTAACGTAGAAAAGACCAGATTGCCGTCATTTAACACCTCATTGTCGTTACTTTCCCTAAGACCTCATTCTCATCAACATCTTATCTTCGATGTAATACTTGACCCATTTAATCAAATACCCAAACCCGTTTTAAATGAGTTTTTACAGATCGGAGACCCACGAAAATCTGCCGACTTCTATCTGTAGTGGCGAATGACTGTTGTCTATAAAAAATTTGAAATGTTCAGATACCACATATAATTAATCCTATTAAAATATAATAAATCAAAAGACCAATATAAATTGTAAGGCACTTGGTGAGAGAGAGAGAGAGAGAGAGAGAGAGATGTGTCATTAATGACTTTTGTCTATAAAAAACAAAAACAAACAAACACAAAATTGGTGATCAAGTCGCGTATGAACCCATGCATGTAATCCTTGTCAATTCTCTAATGTTATGTCAAATCCGTTTAGATATGTCCTATTTTAAATATAACCTTTTAATATGTCAAATTTTACTTCTACCAATTTAAATTTTACGAAGACATCCTTAAAATTATGAATTTTGATCATATTGCATCACTCTTCATATCAGCAGTAAAAGTTTTTTTTGGTGTTTTAGTATTTACATGTAAAATATTTCATTTGATGTATAATTAGAACTCCCTCCATTTCACTTTAATAGCAATAAATATGTATTTTATATGTTCCACTTTAAACATTCATTTAGGATTTTGAAAATATATTAATTTTTTTTTTATTTTTCCTTATTTATTACTCCCTGTGTTCTGTAATACTTATCTTATTTGAAATTTCACGAAATTTTAGGCCCCTTAAAAAAATATTAAATTTATCTAAGTTACAATAAATTATTGAGTAAATTGACTATATTACCCTTAAATTAATACTAATTCTCTAAGAAAGTATTAAATTAAAGTAATAATTATTGATTATATGCAAAGGGTGAATATGAAAAAAAAAAATTTATTAGTCATTCAAACTACAAATGTGATAAGTATTTTAGAACAAATTATTTTTTCAAATTTGACAAATATTATGAAACGAAAGTGGTAGGTGTTTTGCACCAAAATTTAATAGCGAAGTTTTTAATTTTAAGAAGTTAATTTATACATTTTATAATATATTTAGAAAATCAATATATTTCAATCATTTTCTTAATATTTGTGACAAGATCAAATGTTGCAATTAAAGTGGAATAGAAGAAGTATAATATTTTGAATAATAACTTCACATTTTTGACTATTTATAGATATTTAATCGATGTAATTTTACAAATTCGAGTATTCAATAGAATAATTTTTCAAATTTAAATATAATGGGATATTTTTCTCATTTTTTCTCTACCATCTTCAGCAACAGGATTTGTTTTCTATTTTAAAATATTTTTTGTTTATTTTAAAGTAGAAATGGTGTTGATCTATCACTTGAATAATGGCAATTACAATTAAAAAAATAACTCTTTCTTTTTCACTTTTTTTTTTTTTAAATGTAAGGGGAGCAAACGCTCAAAAGACAACAAAAATTAAATTGAACAACTGTGGTGAAAATTGAAAAATAATATCAATAATGTTGAAATCAAGAGGAGGATTGTCCAAGTAACGAGTGTCTGTCTATGTAAGGGAACGCCACAGT